TTCTGGTGGTCAGAGGCCAGTGAGTCCAGCTTGGATTTCCAGTTGTCCATAAGTCCCATGTTCTCGCTAGTGGCCTGCTGAACCTTGGCTTTGAGGTCTGCCACTTCCTGTGCGTACTTCTCGTTGGCCGCCCGGAGCTTTTCCACCTCTGCCTGGTAGGTCTTTAGCATCTTCTCATACTTGTCCTGGAGCAGGGTGCTGTCTCGCTGATGCTCCTTGCTAGCCGACAGCAGTCGCTCTCGAAGCCGCAGGGTCTCAGCAGCCTCGGGGTGGTCCTGGGGTGGTGGGCCTGACTGGAGGAGACACTGCTGCAGCTCTTCGATCTCACCACGCCGCAGGCTCAACTCCTCCTCTAGCTGCAGCACTCGAGACTTCTCAGCCACTGTGGTTAGCTATAGTGAAAGAGAGGGAGACAGGTCAGTGGCTGAGGCTGAGTGCAGGGGATGCGCCAGCCTGTCAGACGACAGGAAGGTGCCTATCCCTTGCTAGGTACTGGCTTTTCTCTGGGATCCTACTGTACCCCAAATGATGGGGTGAACCACAATGTCCTTGATGCTCAGGTGACTTAGAACCCTTTGGTGCATGCGAAGTTTAAGTTTAGAATTTTCAAGAAGCTAATGCTGTATCAGCAATCCTCCTGCCTCAGCTTCCCAAGTGCTGGGATTGCAGGTATGCACCACCATGCCCAGATGGATAAACTCTTCTGGCTTGCACTCTGGCTGAGCCTGTCTAGAGGGTGCTAACCCATCTAGCGAGTTTCCTGCACACACCATTCTGACACACAGTGCATATTATCACCAGGTGATGGCCAGTGTGTACACGAACTCCATGTGTCTCACATGCCCCGCACAGTGCTATGGCCACTGTGCAGAAACCGAGCCCTCGTCTCAAGCCTCCCATCTGTCTGCAGGGTGGTTTTCCTGAGCAATGTTTGCTGCTTGGTTAAACTCTTCCCAGCAGAGCTACAGCTGGGCTGGCCCAGCCATCTGGACATATGTACTGTACAACAGGTGTGGAGGGGCCAGCTGGGCCTGGAGTGTGGGGCACAGAACCACACCCCAGCACTGACTGGACCATTCTCCCAAATGCAGCTTCTCAGGCCTCCCTGACACACATGACTATGTTCAGACTTGGAGACTGGCGTAGTCTCATCCTTTGGGGCTATCCCAACATATAAAAAGCCCCACTTCCTGAGCCCCAGGTCTTCCAGGGTGGTCCTCTGTCACCCTAAGATCCTCTAGGCTAGAGCACCCTGGATCTGTATTCCCATTCTCTGACCTCCTCAGCAGCATGGACAAGGAAGCCTGTGTCCACCCAAGACCACCAAGACCACTCCCAGGAGGCTTCTTTGTGACAATGGACCGGAAGGAGGCACGGGAGATGGTCTCAAAGAGACGCCTCCGCTCAAGGAGCCATGAACTTGGCAGTAATCCCAGAGGACGGACAGCCCCTTCCCAAAGAGTACCACTTGGCCACAGTGAGCCTGACTCGAAATCTCAACTTCCCTCCCAGAGGGGAGCATGGAAGGAAATTCTAAAAAGGGAGAACAGCCATCACGTTGGCTGAGGAAATGAGAAAAGGCAAAGTGGGTCTTGAGGGGCCACGGTGCTGGCCAGGTGGGTGGCAGTGGCAGGCGCAGTGGGTGGTAGTGGCGGGCGCGGTTTCCCCTGTTATCCGCTAATTCTCTAAGCAGCCGCTCGGCCTGCGCCTTCTCCAATAGCAGGCTCTGCTCCAACTCCCCAATGCGCGCGTGCTCCAGCTGGGTCTGGGTCTGCTCCACCCAGGGGGGAGAGGGATGGCAGGGTGGATAAGGAAGGCAGGGGTGTGGGGAAGAGGGCATGGGGAACAGGAAGCCGGAAAAAGAAAGAAAGGGATAGAAAGAAAGAGAGAGAGAGAGAGAGAGAGAGAGAGAGAGAGAGAGAACTTGGGGAAGAGAGAGAGGATCTCAGAAGTAGGGTGCATGGAGGGGCTGGATGCCCTCCCCTCATTGTCCTGTAGGTGTGAGTATATTCAAGGCAGAGGAGGCTGTGGGAACCAGCTCTTGCCAGCCTCTGGCAATGAGGTGGCAATGGCTACCCCAGTTTCCTCCCAAAGCTCTCAAGTCCAGCCCTTTTCTGCTACCACTCTGGGAGTCTGTGGACTTCTTTAAGGGTTTTTGCTTTGTTTTGTTTTTTTGAGGCAGGGCTTCTCTGTGTTGTAGTCCCGGCTGTCGTGGAACTCACTCTGTAAATCAGGCTGGCCACAGACTCAGATTCACTTGCCTCTGCCTCCTGAGTGCTGGGATCAAAGGAGTATGCCACCATGCCCAGCTTTTTCTTTCTTTTTTGCTAATTACATTTAATTTATTCATCCTGCGTGTATGCGTGTGTGTGTGTGTGTGTGTGTGTGTGTGTGTGTGTGTGTGTGTGTGTATAAGTGTGTGTGCACATGTGTGTGGGTGTGCTTCTGGGCATGCATGTGTAGGTGTCTGAGCATGGGTGTGTGTGTGTGTGTGTGTGTGTGGACCATGTGGGTCCCAAGGATCAAACTCAGGCTGTCAGGTTTGGCAGCAAGCACCTTTACCTGCTGAGGCATCCTGCCAGCCCTTATTTATTTATTTATTTATTTATTTACTGTCACTATATAGTTCTGGCTGGCCCTGAATGCCCTACATAGGCCTTGAGCTCACAAATTATCCACACACCTCTGCCTCCTGAGTGCTGGGACTAAAGGTGTGTACCACCGCTCCTATTTTCCTTTTTGGTCTTTGAAACAAGGTTTTGCTATATAGCCTACCAAGTGCTGGGTTTACATGTGGGCATACGCGCCTTCATTTCCAGTTTTAACTTTTAGCCAATGTACTCTGTACACAGGATGAATGAATGGATGATCCTGGGACTTCAGGACACCCAGGCCTGAATTAAAGGGGAAAAGTCCAACACGACAAGGTTTTCCAAGTCATCTTGATTTTGTTTGGTTTAGGTTTCTTTTCTTTCTTTCTTTCTTTTTTTTTTTTTTTTGAGACAGCGTCCACTATGTTACCAAGGCTGACCCCCCACTTGCCCAAGCATGAAGATTGTACCATGCCCAGCTTGGTCTGGAACTCAGTATGTAATCCAGGATGCCCTTGAACCTGCAATCCTTCTGCCTCAGCCTCTCTAGCGCTGGGATGGCAGGTACGTGTCACCACCCCTGCCTAATGCAACTCTTGCCATCATGATTCTCCTGGTCAGACCTCCTGGGTGGGGACTGGGCTGACACCTCTGCCCTTCCTGGAACCTGGCCTAGTCGGCATCCCTGACCCTCCCCCCCTTCCCCAGACTCTGCAGAGGACAACTGCCTCTGTTAAGCACAAGGGCACTTTTGTCCCCTCTTTACAACACCCATTTCATTTGAGAACAAAGCAAGACATTCTCTGGGTGGCACAGAGTTGGCATTTGGATGGCCCATGATGGATACTTTCGAGACAGCAGGGAGGTGGGGAGGACACACACCCTGGGGTGCTCCTAGGAGACCACACTGGAAACCAGGTTTGTCTCAGGAGAGTAGGGAGGGTGCAACTCACCCTCAGAGAAGGAAACATAAGTTAAAGCAACATCTCCCTCACCACACACAACAACCCTACAGAAAGTCTGAAGGGGTGGGCAGGGCTTAGACATTGAGGATAATATTCGGATGCCAGGAAGAAGTGGCCAGCCATGGAGACCAAAAGACTGGAATCTAATACCAGTCGCTCAGCAGAGGAGGAGGGAGAGGGAGACCTAACAAGCAATTATGAGTTTAGCCACAAAGACAGTAGAGCATGGGGTGACCCGGCCCATGGAGGGTTCTGTTTAGGACAGGGTTCAGGCTTTCAATTTTGACTCTGTGTGTGTGTGTGTGTGTGAGTGTGTTTGTGTGTGTCCTTGAGTGCATGTGCAGGTCCCCATGGAGGTCAGAAGAGGGCGCTACAGCCCTTGGAGCTGGAGATACAGAAGGCTGTGAGTCATCTGGGAACTGAACCCTAGGTTCTCTGAAGTATAGCAAGTGCTCTTAACCACTGGGTCATCTCTATAAGCCTCTTGGTTTGTCTTTTAAGATGGGTGGGGAAAACAGAAAGGCTACAAGCCTGCAACCCTGATGCTTGCAGGCTGAGGCAGGACAACTCTGAGTTCCAGGCCAGCTTGGGCAGTCTCAAAAAAACCTAAACCAAGCTGAGAGTCAGTAGGGATAAATTGGACTTTCAGTACGGTTCACATTCTGGTTGCTTCAAATATGGTCGCAATTTAGTCTTTAGAATAAAAAAATTGAAACTGGACGTGACAGCCCTTCTGGCTACACTGGCTGTGTTGCTGTTTGCCCTGTCCCCCTTCCTGAATGCTTGCACCAGCCAATTGGCAAGCCTGGAACCAACCAGATTCTTTCCAGGGGGTAACTGGGTGGTAATGTCTGACAGGCTGGAGCAGGGAACAGATGTAGTAAGAGACACAGACAGACAGGCGGCAGACAGACAGGCTTACCGGGAGTCACTAAGGGTCTGTGAACACCTGGCACCACCCAGGCTCCAGATCCTTGAACTGCCGGCCCTGGGTGGTGTGCACGTGTGCATTTTCCTGTAATCACTCATTGCCTAAGCCTCTGTTGATGGAAGCAGGTGGAGAGGACTCTGTTCTGGCAGCCCTCATCTCCCCACAAGCCCACCCATCTGTCCTCTGCAGGGGGGCTACTGCCCATCAGATAACCCAGCCACAACCACCTGTCCTGTCCCTTTGGTTGTAACAAAAACACAAATCACAATGGCTTCAGGCTGTCTTTTTTTCTCTTCCTTCCCTTCCCTTCTCATCCCCACCCGCCCCATCCTTTCATTCGGGGTATCATTTATCCACTTATTCCAGCCTGCCCTCAAACCCACAGAATAACTGAGGCTGGCCCTGAACTCTTGATCTTCCTGCTTCTACTTCCTGAGGTCTGGAATTACAGTTGTGTGCCACCAGTTTTTGTTGTTTTTAAAAGACGGTGTCTTGATATATAGTTCTGCCTGGCTTAGAACTGCATATATAGACCAGACTAGTCTTGCATTTGCCATGTAGCCAAGGATGATGTAAATGTCTGTTCTCCGGCTCTACCTCCCTAAACTAGGATTGCTGGCATGTGCTACCATGCTGAGATTTGAACCCCTGACATCACACAAGTTAAGCAAGCAGTCTGCCGACTGAGCTACATCTCCAGCTCCCTTTTGACTTTTCTCTTAACAGGGTCTTGCTAAGAAGTGCAGGTTGATTTGGACTTGGTATGTAGCACAGGCTAGTCCTGAATTTGCAATCATCTTCCTTCAGCCACCCTAGAAAGCTAGGGTACCACCAAGCCCAGACCAATCTTGAGTTGAACTGAGAAATGTCCTATGGCTGGGACTTCTAAGGTCCTTCAGGAACTTGGGAATTAGTCACAAATGCAGACCACTGGGTCTCAGCTGTACTTAAACAAGCCCTGCAGGGATGGACGCTCCAGCCTGACAACCTGTAATGGATTTCGACTGTTTCATTTTACAGTGAGGGCTGCCAAAGGGAAGTGTCTTCCAGAGGCCAGACAGGCCAGAAACATGGCAGGAAGCATTTAGCTTGCTGTCCCACTTGGGCACTCCAGGAGCTCTCTCTCTTTCCAAGGGAACTTCAAGAGACACAACAAAAAAGGTGTTTAAGGGTGGTCTCGATCCCAGAGGTCTCTACAGGCTTAGGGGCTAGGCTAGAAGACCCCTAACTCAGCATAGTGTGTTTACTATCTAGGGATAATCCTGGCTGTGCCCATACCATGTATACAGAAGGCAAAATGGAGATGGTACAGGCTGGACCAGGGTCCAACAGTCACCGTCTCTGGTGCCCACACTTGCTAGTTGGTTACAGCATTGGGATAGTCTCTACCTTCTTGAGCTCTGGTCCTTTGTTTGTTTGTTTGTTTCATGTAGCCCAGGCTACCCTTAAACTCATACTAGATAGCTGAGGATGACCTTGGACTCAGTCCTCCTCCTCCCACCTCCCAGTGCTGTGGTAACAGGCTTGTGCCACTATACCTGGTTTATGTGGTTCTGGAAATGGAAGCCAGAGCTCACGAAGGCTAGGCAAGCACTCTGCCAAATGAGATATAGCCACAGCCAGTGAGCCCTAGTTTTAGCCAGTGAGCCCTAGTTTTGCCATCTGTAAAGTCTGTGATCCCAACTGCTCCTTCTAGCCAGGCCTGTGTCTGTGATCCCAGGAGACTGGTGCCTATGTTGTTAGATAAAGACCTAAAATGTCAGTGACCTCAGTCTGTCCCAACCCTACTTTCAACCAACACACAGTGTCCCCTGGATTCCTGGAACACAACCATGCCCATTTCTAATACCAGATGTCCTAAGGCCTGCCCCTCCTCCAAGGAAGGGGGCCTTTGACTCTTCCCCATTTTTCTGTTTCGTCACCCAGGCCTCCCCAAAGAGGTCTAGGCTTGCTGCCTGAATGCCAAGGCCATTTCCCATGACAAGGACTGCGCCCACAGTGCTAAGTGAGTAGGGGAGGACAGCACCCTTTACCTCCAAGTCTCCTTTGGTGATGGATTCTTCTTCCACTCGGAACTGCAGGTCCTCCACCTTCCTGTAGGCAGGAAAAGAGGCGGAGGTGGGCTTTGGCAGTCAAGATGTGGTCAGTGGTAGAGCACCTGCCTAGAATCCCCCAGTGAGGGGCTGAGGTGTGGCTCAGTAGTAGAGCTCCTGCTTAACACATGGGAGGTCCCTGGTTGCATCCATAGCTCCACCCCTTTGTCTCTATCTTACACACACACACACACACACACACACACACACATGTGAACGCACAAAGGCAAGAGGATATGCCTTCATAGGTCAGCTATGAAGACGGAGGCATCAGAAGATTTCAGGGACCAAGCTTAAACTTCAAAAGGGTCTGTTCTCTAGCCAAAAACTACCTGGAATCCTCTCGTTGAGGACAGGTATAACCTTCTGGAAGCCTACTGTACTGAATACAAGCCTCCTTCCTCTCTGGGAGTCCATGGGAAATAGAGGACAATAGTCTGAGCCAAGTGTGGTGATGAACAGCCCTGAGTCAAGGCAGGAGAGCTGGGAGTTGGGAGGCCAACCTGAGCTACATAGTGAGACATTGTCTCAAACACACATCAGGACAGTGGCTCTTCACATACTATGCCACGTGGCCCTATCTCTGCAAACAGGATGAGGGAGGCCAGGGCTTCCTGTTTGCTAACTCCACTCTCATCCTTCAAGTTGAGAGCTGAGGTCCCAGCATGCATTTCCTGGGCTGATCACTAATGCAGGGCTATATAGTGAAACTTTGTCTCAGAAAAACCAAAACGACAGTAATGACAATGATTAAGAGCCCATGATAACAACAAGAAGGTGGAGAGTGACAGAGGACATCACCCTGACGGAGTTCTGGGGGTGGCTCAGTGGGTAAAAGTGCTTTCATCACAAACACCAGGACCTGAGTATCCCCAGGACCCCACTGCAGGAGTCTGGGGCTCCCTTCAGAACACCTGGTCACCCACACACAGGACAGCGACACAGCACTATCTCATACTGCTGTTATAAATGGGGCTTGCTGACAGCTGACAGTACACCTATAAGGCAACTGAGGCCACAAAGTAATGCTACACAATGCTGGGACCTGTACCCAGGCCCTTGGTGAACACAGCTCCCATGATGCCTTACTTTGAATTAAAAAAAATATTTGAGCTTGTATATGGTTTATGTATGTGAGGGTAAGAGGCCATGGTTTGTTTGGTGTGTGTGTGTGTGTGTGTGTGTGTGTGTGTGTGTGTGTGTGTGTGTGTGCGCGTGCGTGCACATAAGCCCAGAGGCCAGAAGAGGACACAGGGTGTCCTGATGTCACTCTGCCTTATTCCCTTGATACAGGGTCTCTCATTGAACCTGAAGCTAGACTGGCAGCCAGAAAGCCCCAATGACCCTCGTGGCTCTGCCCCATCTGTCCCGGGGTTACAGGCATATGTGGGCATACCCAGCTTTACATGGGTGCTGGGGATTTGAACTCTGGTCCTCGTGTTAGTAATGAAATCACTTTTACCCACTGAGCCACCCCCAGAACTCCGTCAGGGTGATGTCCTCTGCCACTGTCCACCTTCTTGTTGTTATCATGGGCTCTTATCATTGTCATTACTGTCGTTTTTGGTTTTTCTGAGACAAGGCCTCACTATATAGCCCTGCACAGCCTGAAACTCACTCTGTAGACTAGGCTGCCCTTGAACTCACAGAGATCTCCCTGCCTCTGCCTCCCCAAGGTACCTGGCTCACATTTTGAAGCAGGGTCTCTCTCTGATCCTGGCCAGGGAGCTCTGGGGATCTTCAGGTCTTTGTGCAGCCAATGCAGGGTTGAAAACCCTGGTGTGTGACCACGCCAGTCTTACAGCTTGGGATCTGAATTCAGGCTCTTTTGCAGCAGGCACTTTTACCAACTGAGCCATCTGCCAGCCCCCACCTCATGGTGCCTTAAAAGACCATTTTTTCTTTTCTTTTCTTTTTTTTTTTTTTTTTTTTTTTTTTTTTTTGTTGTTTTCTGGCATGAGATGCATCACCATGGGAACCAGATGTGTGGGGCCAGCCTACCATCTCACGCAGATATAAATAAACCCTCATTTCCCCCTAGTGAGACAGTAACTGCAAGACTCGGCTGAATGCCCAAAACAGATGCAAATGGGGGTGTCAAGACTGGGGGGCTGCTGCCAGCATGGGGGAAGGAAGGGCCATACAAAAATTGTCATCTTTTGGGAAGGAGGTGACAGAACCAGCCCTGTATCCCAGCAGGAGACCCAAGAATAAGACGGGTCCTGTGTCTCTGGCTGGGGCTGATGGACAAATGCCTGCATCTTTATGTGGGTCTCCATCAGTGTGCTACTGTCCCTGACCTTGGTTAAGGGCTTTTTCTAGGGAAAAAGACTTCTGCAGTCTCAAAAATTGCTATAAGGACCAGCAAGATGGCTCAGTCAGTAAAGGCTCTTGCTGTAAAGCCTGACAACCTGAGTTTGATTCCCCAGGAATCACACAACGAAAGGAACTGATGCCCACAGGTTGTTTTCTGATGTCCACACACATACATACACACGCACAATTTTTTTTTTTCCGAGACAGGATTTCTTTGTGTAGCCCTGGCTGTCCTGGAACTCATTCTGTAGACCAGGCTGGCCTTGAACTCTCAAGAGATCTGCCTGCCTCTGCCTCCCTAGTGCTGGGTTTAAAGGCAGGCACCACCACCACCTGGCTTTAAGAATTTTTTAAAAAGAACCCAAGCTCACAATTAATGCCTAGGGATTAAATTGAGTCCTATGCAGGCTCAACAGGCACCCTCCCAATAAGTTACAGTTCCAGCTCCTTCTTCAGAGGGGCTTAGATAACATCTTAGATAAAACGTGGTCCGTATAGCCCAGGCTATCCTCAACCTGTCAACAATCATCCTGCCTCAGTCTCTTTATTGCTGGGCTTATAAATATGAGCCATTGTACCTGGTTCAAGCCCTTGCTGTGGAAAAACATTCTCTCTCTCTCTCTCTCTCTCTCTCTCTCTCTCTCCTTCTCTCTCTTTCTCTCTCTCTCTCCTTCTCTCTCTCTCTCCCCTCTCTTTCTGAGAAAGGGTCTTATGTAGCCCAGGCTAGTCCCAAATTCACTATGCAGCTATCAGGAGCCTGAACTCCCGCTGTTCCTTCTTCTACCTTCTGCATGTTGAGGTTACAGGCATATGACACCACTCCCAGTTTATGGAACTCAAACTTAGGGCTTTATGCATGCTAGACAAACACTCTGATATATAAAACCAACTGATATAAATGCCCAAGCACATTTTTTGTTTGTTTTTTATTTGAAGGCTGTTGTGGTAGGTTGTCCAGGTAACCCAGGCTACGCTGAAACTATTGATCCACCTACTTCAGCTTCCAAGTACCAGAATTACAGACAGACAGGTCTATGCTGCCACACCCGGCTCCCCCCTCTTCTCCCTGACTCCTTCACTGGGCTCTGGCCCAGCAGGTGCCCGGCACATACCTCCTCTCCTCCTCCAGCTGATTGGACAGGTCTACCTTCTCTTTCCTCACGTTCTCTACCAGCAACCGTGCCCGCTGCAGCTTCTCCTCAGCTTCTGCAACATACTGGCCAGAGCAAGGCCAAGACAGGGTCAAGTAAATTCCAGCCTTCCAGTGGGGACAGGACAGATGCAGGGGAGGTGTAGGAGAGGAGGCCCTTGTTCCCTGCTGGCCCTAGCCAGGCAGGGATAGTGAACCAGACATGAAGAGAGGAGACACAGCAGGGAAAGAAGCAGAGGCCCCAAGATATGTGTATGTGTGTGTGTGCACGCTCAAACACTAGGCTCCTCTGAGCATATATATGAGGCTGGCTTTATGATAGTTTTTTGTTTGTCTGTTTGTTTTGTTTTGTTTTAATACTGGGGATCAAACCTTGCACATGTTAGGCAAGTGCTCTAGTGCTAAGCCATGCCTCCTCACTGGGGACTCTAGGCAGGTACTCTACCACTAAACTCTATCTCAACCCTGATGTGACCACATTAATCCAAGCCCCTAAGCACCTGGGGAAGGGCAGAGTGGCTCACAAATGGGCACAGGGGCCCAGAACAGGACCTCATACGACAGACAAGTGTCAAGTCAGGTGTGGTGGCCAGTCCTGTAATCATGGCACTTGGGGAGGGGAGGAGCTTGAGTTCAGCTAGCCTGTGTTAGCTACACAGTAAGCAGGGAGCTAGAAAATTTGGTTCCATGGTGGAACATAGCCTAGCATATATAAACCCTAAGGCTGGATCTCTATTATTGCAAAAATATATTCATACAAATATCAGAAAAAGGACAGGATAGGTAACAATAACAATAAACAATAAACCCTAGGCACACGGATGTGTATGCCCCACAAGCATCTGAAACATGAGCAGTCCTACCCAGAGATGGGCATTTCAGTTAGAATCTGGACACAGCATGGTAAATTTCAACAAACTGCAGTGTGTGTGTGTGTGTGTGTGTGATAATGGGGATTGAACCTAAGGCTTACACACACGAGACAAGTGATCTACCACTGAGCTACATATGCTTCAACCCCACTACCTCAACTATCACTGAAGGGTGAGAGAGAAAAATGGTTTAGTGGGTGCAGGCGCCAAGCCTGATGACCAGAGTTCAATGCAGGGTGTCCACATGATGGGTGAGAGAACAGATGCCCCAAGTTGTCCTCTGATCTCCACATGCACACCATGGCACACATAATCCTCTTTCACAAAATAAACAAAATGTACCAAAAAGTTTTAGAAAAAGAGAAAAATTGGTCAGCCAGTGGCGGCCCACACCTTTAATCCCACCAATCAGGAGGTAAAGGCAGGTGGATCTCTGAGTTTGAGTTCCAGTACAGTTCAGGATATACAGAGAAACTCTGTCTTGAAAAACAAAAACAAGACAGAGAGAAACTCAGTCAGGTATGGTGGTTCACACCTGTAATCCCAGTGCTTGGGAGAAGGAGGCAGGAATGCAAAGAGTTTGAGGCTAGCCTGAGTGAGCTCCAGGCCAGCCTGGGCTACAAAGGGAGACTCTGTCTAAAACAACAACAAAACCAGAAAAGTAAGTCTCCTCTGACCTAGAGAACGCTGGTGCTGGAGAACTAAAAGCAGCAAGCACAGGTTTAAAGGCTGGTTCTGTACCCGATTATGGTCCAAAGGATGAGAAGCAGTTATGGGCCTCCCTCCAAGATGGGTCCCTCAAAGGAATCCTCTTAGAGGGAAGCCTATTAAAACGAGGATGTACTAAAGGGAAGTAAACAGGTCCATATTGTAGAAAAGCTTGTGAAACCTCAGGAAATAGACAAAACTCACCATGCCCCCCCCCCTTAAGCTTATATAAGCAGAGAAATCTCTCAAACAAGACAAGCTGCCTGTTAAGAGGCCCAAACTATGAGCTCCCTAATAGAGACACTTTCCACACAGTTGATCTGGCTATAGGTTGTGCAGTGTGCTCTAGGTTTCCAGCTTGAGTGACCACCTATAGCTTCTCCAGCCCTTTGGGAAGAGGTGTTCCATGCATCCTGGAGCCTTCCAGCCACCCACCTGCTCATGCTGTGCCTTCAGCAGGGCGATCTCCTTCTCCACCTCACAGATGTGGCTGGTGGCCTTAGCTACTTCAGCCCTCTCCAAGTCACGCTCAGCTAGCAGCTGCTCAATGTGCTGCTGTTTCTCCTTCAGTGCTTCCTGCAGAGCTGTTGTGCCTGAGATCTTCCGGGCATATCGTGAAGAGGTCTCTGTGAGCTGGAGAGAGTAAGCATGGGTGGGACTCTAGATACTGGTGATGGTATAGCCCAGCTTGCTCTCATTGACCTCATGTAAACTAACACAGAATGGGAGGCCTCCTGCTTCTTTGTTGGTGCCCTAGTATACCCTCAACTCATTGGCTGATTCACCCTCAAAGGCAGCATGATGGCTGAGATGCAGATTTCAACAGGGCTGCATCACCTTGGCCAGCTCCACTCTAGACCAAGCTGTATTGAAGTCCTTCCACCCAAACCCGAGTGGCCTTCTCTTCTCTCCTCACCTAGAGTCCCTGAGACAGTCTTTTGGAATTCCCAGCCTGTATCTACCCCACACTGTTTACCCAGGGAATGTGACCAAGAGACCAGCCATAACAATAATAAAACATATAAATGGATCAATATTTCCTATGAAGAGATCATACTCCCCCACCCTAAACCCAACCAAGAGATGCCTGGGATCAGAGCAAGCTGGGGACAGAATAGGACACTTGATCCTACCTCTATCCTTAACATCTGAGTTCTCCAACTCCCCAATTCTACACTTACCAGGCCACTACGACTGGGCCGGCCGCCAACAGAGGAGGCCACAGAGCTGACAGAGCTGATAGAGGAACTGCTTGGGCTGTGGGTCAAGGCTGAGACACCCATGGCCATACGTTTGGTCTTCTTGGCCTTGGCTGGACTGGTAGATGGGAAGCCAATTCGAATGACCTTGTGGATGGGTGCAAAGAGTCCGAACTTGGGTGGGCACTGGAAGTATCTGGGGAGCATGACAGAGCAATGGTGATACCATCATTACTAGGGGTCTCTCCAGCTTTCCACTCCATATCAGAGCCCAAAGATACAGGTGTGTCCTCAGGACCTGTCAGCCACATCCCACGGTGAGAGTCCTCCAGATGGAGGAGTCAGACATGGTGGTACACATCTGTAATGCCAGCACTTGAGAGGTGGAGGCAGGGAATTAGGAGAATGGGACTGCCAAAAATTTACAGCTCTGAGCAGCTCTGGAAATAATATTAAGAAACCTGCTGTCCATCACACAGAAGAAGCAGCAACATTAAGATGGGACCTCTGGGACTGTACTACTCCAAGACCCTACAAACTGTCTAGGAAATCCCAGCTGCAACTACAGCCGGTCTACCTCCTAAACCAGCTCTCTATCCCTGGGGGTCCCTTGCATAGAGAAGAAAAACCCTGGAGGAGAGGTGGCAAGAGGATAGAGTTCAAGGCCAGCCTCTGCTATATAGCGAGTCAGAAGCCAGCCTGTGATATACAGGATTGTTTCAAAAAAGGAGGGGGGGAGGTATAAGAGTGCAGGACCCCTGCAGCTCTTTTGCAACACTCAGGAAATGCAGAGGTAAGCAAATTCTCACATTTCTGCCTTCCTAGTATTCCACCTAACTCAGCCCAGTGTTGTGGCCAAGGGAACACAGAACAGAGGGACTCTTAGTGTTTGTCTGTGACAATGACCTCTGGCCTTAAGTCTCTCATCAATCAAATGGGATGATCATTTCTCCTATCTAGCCTGACACATACATCACAGTGTCTGGTACACCATGGCCATGATTCTACTGCCACCTTATCCTCAGCCCTCTGACAATCCTCAGGAGAGCCCGTCGTACCTGGTGCCTGCCACAGCCCCATCGTTCTTCCCAAGGGGCTCATCCAGCTCCACACCACACCACTCGCCTTTGGCAAAGTCCGTCTCCCCAACATATCGTACCACACCGGTCTTCGTCCCACCAACCTGTTGGCACATGGAGAGAGGCAGGTCCAGAGGGTGCACGGGACACAGGTTGAGCCTGGCAAAGGGCAGATGAGAAAGAGGAGATACCCACAGACAGCTGGGAGGGACACAGGTTCCAGCAGTCACATGACTGCTACGTGGAAGGGCATAGGCTTGGAGAGACACATAGATCTGAACTCAAATTCCCCTGCAAGCTGCATGAGCATGGGCAAGTTACAGATCCTCTGCGAACCTCAGTGTCTTCATCTACCAAAAGAACTTTTGTGATAATTAAATACTGTATGTATGAAGCAACCACTTGATGCTGCTAGAGCCTTAGTAAATGCTCTCAGTAAAAACACAAAAGCAGTTTTCAGGGATGGGCTGGTGGCCCAGCAGTAAAGTCCCTGCCTAGAATTCCCCAGTAAGGGGTTGGGGGTATGGATCAATAGTAGAGCACCTGACTAGAACTCCCCAGGGAGGAGCTGGGGTGTGGCTCAGTGGTAAAGAACTTGTCTAACATGCATGAGGCCCTAGGTTTTATTCCAACACCACAGGAAAATTAAAAGTAGGGCTGGTAAGATGGCTCAGCAGGTAAAAGCTGTGCAAGACTCATAACCTGAGTTCAATCTCTGGAACCCTCAGTAGACAGAGAAAATTGATTTCCAAAGCAGTGCTCTAGTGCTCTGACTTCCAGACCCATGCTGTGACACACTAGTGCACTCATATATGAACACACATACACATACAACTTTTTTTGTTATTGTTGTTTTGTTTTTCGAGACAGGGTTTCTCTGTGTAGCTTTGGAGCCTATCCTGGCACTCACTCTGGAGACCAGGCTGGCCTGGAACTCACAGAGATCCACCTGCCTCTGTATCCCAGTGCTGGGATTAAAGGCATGTGCCACCAACGCCTGGCAACATACACACTTTAAATAAAACTAAAAAAATCAAAACAAAACAGAAAAAGTATATAAGACTACTAAAAAAAAAGTTAATATACAGACCCATAAATTAGAGATCTAAGTACTTGCAAAATCAGATCTGATCTAATTTCCTTGTTTTTGTTTTTGGTTTTTGGTTTTTTCAAGATAAGGTTTCTCTGTAGCTTTGGAGCCTGTCCTGGAATTCAGTCTGTAGACCAGGCTGGCCCCCTGTCTCTGCCTCCCAAGTGCTGGGATTAAAGGCGTGGGCCACCACCAGCTTCCAATTTCCCTTCTGTTGCTCTGATTAACTGAGGGGAGAAGAGGATTTATTCAGCTCACACTTCCAGGTTATAACGTAACACCGTGGGGAAGTCAAGGCAGGAAATTAAAACATCATATCCACAAGAGCAAATGCATCCTTTTCTTGCTTCTTACACTCAGCTAGCTTTCTCTGTTGTTAGCATTTTTTTTTTTAAGATTTTATTTATTATGTATACAGTCTTCTGCCTGC